CCACATGAAAGCTGAAACGTCTGTATTCTATAACTTCACTATACTCGGTTATACTTTCTGGCGATTTTTTCTGTATGAGAAAACGCAAGTGTAGTACCTTACATATCCCCTAGCTTATATCTTGTATGGGGTGTCTCTTATGTACGGGGGCACATCTGGTTACAATCGCAGCAGATCTATTACCAATGTTTACCTATCGATCGGTGTTGTTTGTTCGTGTTCGTCCCCGTGTCTTTAGCAGTGGCATCAGCTGGTGTTGAACAAAAGAGCATTCGCACGACCATTATTGAAATAGCTTCATCGTATCCGGTCTGTAAACAGAGTGAAGAATGATAGCTTTCGTGCAGTGTATCGGATCCCGTTGTCGAAAATTACGCTGACATGAATGCTCTATGGTTGCCGTCATTTATTCGTGTAATTTGAAGAGAATGGGCCTTCAACATGAAAGTTATTAATTGTGTGTGTGTGTGTGTGTGTGTATGTATGTGTGTGTGTGTGTGTGTGTGTGTGTGTGTGTGCGCGCGCGCGTGTGTGTGCGCGTGTGTGCGTGCGTGCGTGCGTTACTGTGTGTGTGTGTGTGCGCGCGTGTGTGTGTGCGTGCGTGCGTTACTGTGTGTGTGCGCGCGCGCGTGTGTGTGCTATGACTGAGTAACACCCTGGTTGACGGCTGACACTGTGTGTGAATGCTACCCGTTGTACTGCCCTCTGTGTGCGTGTAGCGAGGTACTAAACTGAACAGAAAGAACACTACTACATCAGTGTGCAGTACCGCGTCAGAACACGCGTGCAGGGAGAGGCCTGGACCGTCTCTACGGCACGTAGATCCACTGTCACCCACCCCGTGTGTGTAGTGGAGGCATGGACCGTCTCTACGTGACGTAGGTGTCCACTGTCACTACCCCTGTGTGTGTAGCGGAGGTCTGGACTGTCTCTACGGGACGCAGATCCACTGTCACCTACCCCCGTGTGTGTAGTGAAGGCCTAGACCGTCTCTACGTGACGTAGGTGTCCACTGTCACTACCCCCGTGTGTGTAGCGGAGGCCTGGGCCGTCTCTACGGGACGTAGATCCACTGTCACTACCCTTGTGTGGGTTCGACGAGCTTATTACACGATGCCATTGAGATAGAAAGTTCTTCGAGCTAGCGATCAACTATTGCGATGAATGCTTAGTGGTATCGGAATGTATCGGAATGACATTTCAGAGAATATTAAAATACGTGGGCAAACAGAGCTTAACGCGTACGAAGTTTTGGTATTTATTTTAAAGCGACCGCACAGATTCACATTACCGATGAAGAAATACAGGACGTCGGCCGGGTTGCACTACACAAATGGAAAACACAGCTGTAAAAACAAGAGGTCTGATGATTTATTCGACACAGATGTTTTGCGACATTTCTATTAGTTGTACGAATTTCAGGATAAACGTCGTAAATAATCTGTAAACAATAAAGAATGTAAATGAATATAATCATTAAAAAATAAATCGCAATGAAAAAACAAATCAAGTGAAATAAGAACAACATGAAAGCAGAAGAAATAAGTAAAACAAACCCATTAATAAAGATGTCATTAATATAAGTATGCAGTATATTCACTTATAGCCATATTTTCATATCAATCGTAGCAAAGACCATACGCGAAAAACTGGAAAATAAAGCAGACGCAATCATATAAATTGTAAATTCGCTTGACACAAAAATACGATACAAAGGATTGCAGAAATTCTTCACATTTCGAAAATAATACTTTTTTCGTCATACTTTAACATTTGACATTGACAGGAGGGGAAGAGCCATCTCCACACGGCACGCAAATTAACGATGCGCAGTTTCCCACCTGCGACACAATATTCTTCTCCTTGTTTTAGACACATGTGTTACCTGCCTCCACTCCACTGTGCGCATGTCCCCGTGCGCAAACCGCAACTTGTCATACGCACACATATATATACCGTCGAACGCACCCGCGCCGCACGCCGCACACGAGTTAAACACGCAACTCAACAGCCACGCATCGCACTACAAGCTTTGTCACAGTATTCCTATATATTTACACACTCTCGGGCTGCCGCATAGGGAGCGCACGGGAGAGCGAGTTGATTCGAGTGACGAATGGCAACGAATTCATCCTCGTTCGTTGACGTCGCGAGTAATGCTTCTGTTGCTTCTAACGGTACGTTGGCGGAGGCGTTTCTCATACCAGAGTTTAATGCGTCGTTTCGTAACATCGTGACCGGCGTCGGTCTGGCGGTTTGGACCGTGGCGACGGTGCTTGGCAACGTGCTCGTCATGGCGGCCGTTGCCATGGAGAAAAAGTTGCAGACGACCTTCAACTATCACATCGTTAACCTTGCCGTCACAGACGTGACGGTCGGCGCTATTGTCATACCGTTTTACTCCATCTATACCATCCTAAACTACTGGCCACTCGGTAAGTAAAGTATTAATTAATATAATTATATACTAATTATACACGTATTAATTAATCTTTCATCTTTTTTTTTCATCGTCGCTTATTTCATCTCTGTATATATTTGCACATACATTATAGTCCGCTGGGCGTAGGTTCTGTGTGTAGGAGATTCACGTATTAGTGAATTATATGTGTAGTGGTGTGTCGTAGTCGTTTCTACGATCTGTGATTGCAAACGATCGCACGTGTTATGAAGGGGAAGGACGTGGAAGTTTCATGTCAACCAGCAAGTTTACAACGATGATGATGACACGTATCACTCCGATTTATAATTCGGTCTATAATTCGGTTTATTACTAGATAGATAGATAGATAGATAGATAGATAGATAGATAGATAGATAGATAGATAGATAGATAGATAGATAGATAGATAGATAGATAGATAGATAGATGGATAGATGGATGGATGGATGGATGGATGGATGGATGGAT